ACTCCCAAATGACAAAATCAAACCCTCCAACCGCACCAGGATTCTAATTTGGGTGTATCAGGTATTTGTGCCAAATTTAGTCAAGTGACTGAAAATATGTCCTGCATATGAGATATTTACATTACGATTCATAACAGTACCAACAGTAGCAACGAAAATAATTTTATGGTTGGGGTCACCACAACATGAGTGACTGTATTAAGGAGCCATGGCATTAGATAGGTTGAGAAACACTGCCATAAATGATGAACCTTTTGCAATGTATACAGACATGAAATTTGTTACACCTTCACTCATCTTGTCCTGTTCCATTGTACTGAATTTTTGCTCTTCCACATTGAACATAATCCATGTTAATATTAGAAGGGTTTACAATGGAGGCAAACACTGGTATTACATGCTCCACACTGGTTCTATCTCTGGGCCCTTCCACACAGCCATATAACCCAGAACATCAAGGCAGAAAATTCCACAATATCTGCTTTGAACTGGGTTATCTGGATCCACACTGCAACATATCCCAGTTCAAAGCAGATAATGTGGGATTTTATTCAGCTGTGTGGAAGGGTTCTGTGAAGTAGCTGAGAAGACATCTTAAGCCTCAAACATGGGGCTCTCTTTCAATGAACCTTAAATCTCTTTTATGAAGGCTCAGCCTAAGAAGAAGTGTGTGTGTGTGTGTGTGACTATCATGAAAATGAAAACACTTCCAAGCAGAAGTGGGCTGCGCTGCAATCTACCCACAAGTGCTGCAAAGATGGGGAAGTGAGCAGATCAAGGCCAGCCCAGCACACAGAGGAGCTCCGTGGGACAATGCAATGTTTTCTATTCCAGCCTCCCTGGACAAAAAGCCTAAAATTGAGTTAAAATGAACTCTCAGTATACCCAGATCTCTGCAAGACCACAGCAGGTATTCTTTAATAACTGGTGCACTCTTATTCCAAGCAAGAATGACCTTCCTACAAGCATCAGCTAAACAGAGCAATACATCACAAAGCACCAATGTAAGAAAAACATTTCCGAGGGCTCCAAAACCTAGCTGAGCAGTAGAAACTGTCTATTAGTGGCAAAAAGATCAGGTGCACTGAAGCCCGTTCTTCACACATGATGATCATCTAATTCCTTATTTCACGTCCAGGTGTTACAAGGAACATAATAACACAGGACAGGAGCTCCCAGTGGTGCAATGGATTAAACCCTTGTGCTGGCAGGACTGCTGACCGGAAGATCAGCAGTTTGAACCCAGGGAGCAGGGTGAGCTCCCATCTGTCAGCTCCAGCTTCTCATGCAGGGACATAAGAGAAGCCTCACACAGGATGGTAAAACATCCAGGTTTCAGAGCTCTAGACTGCATCTACACTGCAGAATTAATGCAGTTTAGCTGCAATGACTCAATGTTATGAAATTGTGGGAGTTGTAGTTTGGTAAGGCACCAGCACTCCTTGGCAGAGAAGGCTACAGGTCCCATGATTCCTTAGGATTGAGCCATGGCAGCTAAAGGATCCAATTGTATTAATTATATAGCAGGCATGGGCAAACTCAGGCCCTCCGGGTGTTTTGGACTTTCAACTTCCACAATTCCTGAATATATAGCAGGCATGGGCAAACTCAGGCCCTCCGGGTGTTTTGGACTTTCAACTTCCACAATTCCTAACAGCCTTGGGCCCTTTCCTTTTCCCCCTCAACCGCTAGGGGGATAAGGAAAGGGCCCGAGGCTGTTAGGAATTGTGGAAGTTGAAGTCCAAAACACCTGGAGTGCCCGAGTTTGCCCATGCCAGTCTATAGTGTAGATCTACCTCTGTTCTTAAAAGGACTTCCAAATGACAAGCTTTGGGGATGGAAGGCTTGCAAACGCACTCCTGGCTCCATCCTCTCTTAGTGGGAAAGATCTGGTGCCTTCTCTGATAAACTGCAGATTCCTTAGATCCCATAGAATCGAGCCATGGCAGTGAAAGTGGCCTCAGTATGCCCTCATCCTAAATACATCCCTGGAAAGGCGAAGAGCTCCAGCTCCAAGCAGGTGTGTGGCCCAAGACTGCAGAAGGGAAGCAGCATGTCTCTTCCACAGCCATGGAATCAGGGGAGCTGTAGTTTCTCTACCAAAGAGAAAACCCCAAGATCCCATAGATAGCATGGGAGCCTGGGCAGAGAAAGCGACAGCACACTTGGCATTTCTTCTGTACCATGTAGAACAGTGTTTCTCAACCTGAGGGTCGTGACCCCTGGGGGGTCACGAGGGGCTGTCAAAGGGGTCACCAAAGACCATCAGGGGAAAAAAGTCTTTTCTGTTGGTCATGGGGGTTATGTGTGGGAAGTTTGGCCAAATTCTCTTATTGGTGGGGTTCAGAATTCTCTTTGATTGTAGGTGAACTATAAACCCAGCAACTACAACTCCCAAATGTCAATGTCAATTTTCCCCAAAGGCCACCAGTGTTCACATTGGGCAAATTGAGTATTCATGCCAAGTTTGATCCAGATCCATCATGGTTAGAGTCCACAGCGCTCTCTGGATGTAGGTGAACAACAACTCCAAAACTCAAGTCAATGCCCACCAAACCCTTCATGGTCATGGGATATCTGTGTGTCAAGATTGGTTCAATGTCGTCATTGGTGGAATTCAGAATGCTCCTTGATTGTAGGTGAACTATAAATCCCAGCAACTACAACTCCTAAATGACAAAATCAACCCCTCCCCCTAACCCCACCAGTATTCAAATTTGGGAATATCGGGTATTTGTGCCCAATTTGGTTCAGTGAATGAAAATACATCCTGCATATCAGATATTTACATTACGATTCATAACAGTAGCAAAATTACAGTTATGAAGTAGCAATGAAAATTATGTTATGGTTGGGGGTCACCACAACATGAGGAACTATATTAAGGAAGGTTGAGAACCACTGGTATAGATCAAGTATGGGTAAACCCAAGCCCAGGAGGCCGAATGCGGCTCCTTAGGCTCTTTTCTCAGACCCTCCTCTCTCACAACTTCCTTCCCTTCCTTTCTTGCTTGCCTCTCTCTTTCTCCTTCCATCCTTTCTTCTCTTCCACCCATCGGTCCTTCCCTCTTTCCTACCTCCTTCTCTCTCCCCCTTTCTCCTTCCTTCCTTCCTTCTTTCCTTCTATTTTCTCTTTCTTCCCTCCTTCCCTCCAATCACTGTCTTCCACCATTCCTTCCTTCCTTCCATCCTTTCCTTCCTTCCTTCCTGGGGGATGTTTAGCTGGGAGAAGAGACGGTTGAGAGGGAACATGAGAACTCTGTTTCCAGATTTTAAAGGGTGTCCCATTGAGGAGGAAGAGGGGCAAAACTGACTTACTGCTGCTCTAGAGACCAGGGCACAAGGGAGCAATGTGTTCAAATGGCAGGGAAAGAGATTTGACTGAAAAGATTAGGAAGAACTTATTGAGAGGAAGAACAGTTGGAGAGTGGCATGGGCTACCTCAGATTGTGATGGAGTCTCCTTCCCAGGAGGTTTTTCTCAGATTGTGTCTATTGGGAGTGCTTTGATTGTAGCTTCTTGCATGACAGGGGGTTGAACTAGATGGCCCTTGAGGGTCTCTTCCAGATCTAGAATTCTACTGTACATCAGGAGTAGGTAACATGGGGTCTCATGGATAGACCTTTTCTCTCCCGTCCACCATCTAATCCTGGCCAGCCCTCACGTCCACGATCTCATCCTGGCCAACCATCACCTCAGGCCAACCCTTTTGGGTTCCAAATGTTTCTCTCGTCTTTCCTTCACTTTCTGCATCCAAAAGAGAAGAGGAAAGGGAGGAAAGGGGGGACCTTTGGGAGAACTGCCTCCATCCTGGCCAGGCCACCCTCTCCTGCCATGCGCCCCCCCAAGTTAGAAAGTTTGCCCATGCCTGGTATAGATGAGAAGGAAAGGAAGACAAAAGTCCCAAGCTCTCGCCATGAACAATTTCCGTGTCAGGAGCGACTTGAGAAACTGCAAGTAATTTCTGATGTGAGAGAATTGGCTGTCTGCAAGGACGTTGCCCAGGAGATATCTGGATGTTTTTGATATTTTACCATCCTTATGGGAGGCTTCTCTCATGTCCCCGCATGAAGAGCTGGAGCTGACAGAGGGAGCCCATCCGCACTCTCCCTAGCCAAGAGCAATTTCCGTGCCATGAGAGACTTGAGAAATTGTAAGTTGCTTCTAGTGTGAGTGAATTGGCCGTCTGCATGGATGTTGCCGAGGGGACGTCCAGATTTTTTGATATTTTACCATACTGTGGGAGGCTTCCCTCATCTCCCCACACGGAGAGCTGGAGCTGACAGAGGGAGCTCATCTGCACTCTCCGCGGTCAAGAGCAATTTCCGTGCCAGGAGCAACTTGAGAAACTGGCGTGAAAGAATTGGCCGTCTGCAAGAATGTTGCCCAGGGGGCGCCCGGATGTTTTGATATTCCACCATCCTTGTGGGAGGCTTCTCTCAAGTCCCTGCATGGGAAGCTGGAGCTGACAGAGGGAGCTCAACCCACTCTCCCTGGATTCGAACCTGCGACCTGTTGGTTTTCAGTCCTGCCGGCACAAGGGTTTAACCCAGTGGTTGTCAAGCTGTGGGTCCCCAGGTGTTTTGACCTACAACTCCCAGAAATCTCAGCCAGTTTACCAGATGTTAGGATTTCAGGGAGTTGAATTCCAAAACATCTGAGCACCCACAGGTTGAGAACCACTGGTTTAACCCATTGCGCCACGGGAGGGGGGACTTTTGCCCTGTGTTACTGTGTCCCTTGTATACTTGGACGTGAAATAAGGAGTTAGATGGTCATCATGTGTGAAGAACCAGCTTCAGTGCCAATGCCTGGTGTAGATGCTGCCTCTTCAGGGAGGAAGGGAAGAGACGGGTCCCAAGCTCTCGCCAAGAGCGGGAGTCACAGAAGCTTACAATTGGAGGAGACCTTGAGGGGCATCCAGCCCAACCCAACCCGAGCCCTCCCTGCAGATGGCCATGGCGAGATCTATGGAAGGGACGGGGATGGGGGGGTTATACCTGCTTGTCCATGGCGGAGGGGGCGGGGGCCCTCTCGCAGGTGCAGCCTTCCAGCAGGTAGAGCCCGGCGGGCCGGGTGCTGCTCTCGGCCTCGAAGTAGAAGAGCAGGTTCTGGTGGAGCGCGAACCACTTCTCGTGCCAGCGGCTGGCCGTCTCGGCCGTCTTCTTGCTGAGGAAGCCCCGGCGGGAGCCCTCCTTGCGGGCCACCAGCGCCAGGTACAAGGCGTGGCCCTCGTTGCACCGCACGCTCTTCTGCATGGTCCCCCGCCACCGGCCCTCTCCCAGGGACACCCCCACCCCCCAACACACACTGGGCTGCCTACTGCCTTCCTCGCCGGGCTGTGCGGCTCCTCTGCCTATCCCAGCCGCCTTCTCAGCATCGCCGCAGCCCTCCTTCGCGCGCCGACAAGCGAGGAAAAGTTGTGCCAGGCGCGCCTTTGCCCACCGCTCTCGGTCTCTCTCTGTGTGTGTGTGTGTCTCTCTCTTGGACCCCTTTCCTCCTCCTCCTCGTCTTCCTCCCTCGGAGGGAGCCAGAAGGGGAAATATCACGTGGGAGATCAGCTGTAATCGGCTTTGAGACCAATTTAAAGAGCAAAGTCGCCGCCGCCGAGGCTGCCAGAGCAGAGCGCACTCCCGCCTCCCCCCTCCCTTTAAAGAGAGAGAGAGAAGGAGAAAGAGAGAGAGAGAGAGAGAAGAGAGTGAGCGCACTCCCGCCTCCCTCCCTCCCTTTAAAGAGAGAGGAAAAGAGAGGGGGGTGGAGAAAGAGAGAGAGAAAGAAAGAGGAGAACGCACTCCCGCCTCCCCCCTCCCTTTAAAGAGAGAGAGAGAGAAGGAGAAAGAGCGAGAGAGAGAGAGGAGAGAGCGCACTCCCGCCTCCCTCCAAAGGGGAGAGAGAGAGAAAAAGGGAAAGGGGGGTGAGAGCGAATTCCCGCCTCCCTCCCTCCTTTGAAAGGAGAGAGAGCGAGAGAGAGAGAGAGAGAGAGAGAGAGAGAGAGAGAGAGGAGAGAGCGCACTTACCCCTCCCTCCCTTTAAAGAGAGAGAGAAAGAGAGAGAGAAGGAGAAAGAGGGGAGGGAGGGAGAGCGCGCACTCCCTCCTCTCTCCCTCCTTTCAAAGGAGAGAGAGCGAGAGAGAGAGAAGTAGAAAGAGAGGGGGAAATAGAGAGAGGAGGGAGCGCACTTCCGTCTCCCCCCTCCTTTCAAAGAGAGAGAGGGAGAAAGAGAGGGGGGGGGAGCGCACTCCTGCCCCTGTCAGAGAAGGACTCCTGACCCTCCCTTCCTCCCTCTTTATTATTATTATGGGATATATAGGAGCCCACCAGTGCGCAATGGGTTTAAACCCTTGTGCCGGCAGGACTGCTGACCTACTGCTCTTTTTTTTTTTTTTCGTGTCAGGAGCAAGTCGCTTCTGGTGTGAGAGAATTGGCCGTCTGCAAGGACGTTGCCCAGGGGACGCCTGGATGATTTGATGTTTTTATCATCCTTGTGGGAGGCTTCTCTCATGTCCCCGCATGAGGAGCTGGAGCTGATAGAGGGAGCTCATACGCCTCTCCCTGGATTTGAACCTGCGACCTGTCGGTCTTCAGTCCAGCTGGCACAGGGGTTTAACCCACTGCGCCACCGGGGGCTCCGACCCACTGCTGAAGAGCGGGTTGAGTTCCCTCTGTCAACACTAGCTCCCCACGCGGAGGCATGAGAGAAGCTGTTGGAAAGAGACCGCAAGCACCATCCAGTCGAGCCCTGATCTGCCTTGTAGGATCACACCATCAAAGCACTCCTGGCAGAGGTTATTGGGAAATCTCCACAGGCTTTTGGAAGCACGACCCTTTGGGACATAAATAAAGAACAAAAGGAGAACTCCAGACAGGAAACAATCAGGGGCAGCTAATCCCCTCTCAACAAAGGATTCCCCAGGCAGTAAGAAGGCAAACCTTGAAAACTTGCCAGGCCATTAAATGTTAATTAAGGTGGCCAACTGAAACATTTCCACCTAGCTCCAACAGACAAGAGTTCTTTCTCCCACCCTGGACCTTCCACGGTTATATAAACCCAATTTTCCTAGATTGTTGTAGGTTTTTCGGATTGTACGGCCACTTTCTCAAGTCGCTCCTGATGCACACAAAAAATGTATATATTTGGGTTGTTGTGAGTTTTCCGGGCTGTATGGTCATGTTCCAGAAGCATTCTCTCCTGACGTTCCGCCCGCATCTATGGCAGGCATCCTCAAAGATTGTAAGATTTGAGGATGCCTGCCAAAGATGCGGGCGAAACGTCAGGAGAGAACATGACCATACAGCCCGGAAAACTCACAACAACCCAGTGATTCCGGCCATGAAAGCCTTCGACAGGTATAGATTTATTTGTATCCCGCTTTTATCCGCCAAGATCCAATTACATATCTAGTCTCTTCCTTTCTCTCTCTTTCTGGACTCTCTCTCTCCTTTTTCTGTTTTTCTCTCCTCCCTCTCTCTCTCTCTCTCTCTCTTTCTCCTCCCCCCCCCCCCCCCCCCCCCACCCACCCCCCCCCCCCCCCCCCCCCCCCCCCCCCCCTCTCTTTCTCTCTCTGCTTGCCCCTGCTGCCCTCAGGGCTTCTCTTTCTTCCTCTCTTCCACACACACACACACACACACGTTGCTTTCTCTCTCCAGCCAGCCCTGCCGCCCTGCCGCCCGAAGGGAGCGTGGAAAGGGGAGCAGGCAGAGCTTCCTCTGGAGGCGCGCGCCCAGGCAAGCTCAAAGCCCGGGCAGTGCGCGCTCCCGAGAGAGATCCAATGGTGGGGGTGAACGGGGAAAGGAAGGCGCGGGCAGGCTTGCGAAGGAGGAGCACCTGTTGCACTCTGACTTTAGAACAGGCGGTCGGCCATCCAGGCTGAGGAATTTTTTTTTCTTTCCTGTCAGGAACAATTTGAGAAACTGCAAGTAGCTTCTGGTGTGAGAGAATTGGCTGTCTGCAAGAACAGATGTTTGGTGTTTTTACCATCCTTGTGGGAAGCGCCTCTCATGTCCCCGCATGAGGAGCTGGAGCTGACAGAGGGAGCTCAACCTGCTCTCCCCGGATTCGAACCACTGACCTATGGGGCAGCAGTCCTACTAGTACAAAGGGTTTGACCCGTTGTGCTACCGGTGAATGAACCTCTACAGCTGTCAAGAAGAAATCACAAAAGAAAACAACTAGGCAAAGTAATGTCATTGCTGCTAATTGCTTACCATGGTTGACCAAAAAAAACCCCATCAAAAGTTATGTTACCTCATTTTTTTTGTGTCAGGACCAATTTAAGAAACTGCAAGTAGCTTCTCTCATGTCCCCACATGGAGAGCTGGAGCTGACAGAGGGAGCTCATCCACAGTCTCCCCAGCCAACAGCAATTTCCATGCCAGGAGCAACTTGAGAAACTGCAAGTCACATCTGGTGTGAGAGAATTGGCCGTCTGCAAGGAAGTTGCCCAGGGGATGCCCAGATGTTTTTGATGTTTTACCATCCTTGTGGGAGGCTTGTCTCATGTCCCCGCGTGGGGAGCTGGAGCTGACAGAGGGAGCTCATTCCTGGCCAAGAGCAATTTCCATGCCAGGAGCAACTTGAGAAACTGCAAGTCGTGTCTGGTGTGAGAGAATTGGCCATCTGCAAGGATGTTGCCTGGGGAACACCCAGATGTTTTTGATGTTTTACCATCCTTGTGGGAGGCTTGTCTCATGTCCCCGCGTGGGGAGCTGGAGCTGACAGAGGGAGCTCATCCATGCTCTCCAGAGATTCATATCTGCAACCTGTCAGTCTTCAGTCCTGCTGGCACAAGGGTTTAACACACTGCGGGAATGATGAAAATGATGGGAGTTGAAGACCAAAACACCAGGAGGGAGGGCACGAGTTTTCCCAGGCCTGGTATAGATACAATATTCCTCTTGATGCAGGCTAAAATTGCATTGGCTTTTTTTCAGCTCAACCATTGAATGTGAATAAACCAATGAAATTCTGATGGGAAATATTGCAGAAAGGGAGCAAGCGTTATCCTTTTTTCTAGGTGGGAAATTCAAGTTAAACACATCACCTGTTAAACCATGGTTAAAAATCATGGCAGCCTGACACAGACAATCAATCGAGGAAAGAACCTGTCAAGATGTCATAGAATAGAATTCAAGCTTTCAGTGCCTCAGTACTTTGGATAAGCATTGACAAAATCGAAAAAAGGAGGGTAAGGGTTAGAAGGTTGGAAGAAAATGAGAAAATTGGAGTCTTCCTTTGTGTTTGACTGATGGTATAGTGCTCCTGACTTGCTGAACTGAAAGTCCCAGCATCCCTGGCATGGAAAAACAATGAGAAATGCTGTGAGTTGCAGTACAACAAACTCTATAAAGTGTCACATGATTGTCACCCTTGATTTAGATCAGGCATGGGCAAACCCAGGCCCAGGCACCAGATGCGGCCCCTTGCACTCTTCTCACCATCCTGTCCTTCCTTCTCTTTCCTTCCTCCTTCCCTCCTTCTCTTCCTTCTTTCACATTGCTGTTTTCGAGCCGCTAGGTGAGCAGAAGCTGGGCTGATGGTGGAGAGCTCACCCCAACCCGGGCTTGAACTGTCAACCTTTCGATCAGCAAGATTTTTTGCAGTTGGCGGTTTAACCCACTGTACTATAAGAAAATCACAGCAGCTGGCCATTAGGAATTGTGGGAGTTGATGTCCAAAACACCCGGAGGGCCAAAGTTTGTCCATGCCTGATCTAGATAGGCAATCCTCTTGACTAAATTTCCCAATTCTATAGGAACAAGGAGGATTTTAACATTAAAATAGGAAGTCCACCAAGTTCAATGCCTTTCCTTTCCTTATAATTTTTTTTTCTGAATGCATATATTAGTGAATTTTGAAAATTCAATAGGATTTACTTCTGTGCAGACATTCCCAGGATTGCACTCGGTCACATTCTCCACTCACTCATTTTATGTACATAAAACCATGGAAATTCAAATGAAAAAGGATGTGCTTGCTTTATTTATAGAGCATTAAGAAACCATAAGGTTTAAAACTAGGGAGACTCAGATCTGTAATGATCCAGTTATATCACACACTCCTAATATCCAGAAAACGGGCTAAGAATTGTCTATAATATTCAGGCTAAAAGCAGCATCCTCTTCTCAAATGCAGATAAAATCAAGCTCCATAGAAATAAGACTGACATTTTTGCTGCAGTCTCAGCTCAACAACTCAACGGCAAGGTCAATCAGACTTGGAAGATATCTGCCATATGATCAAACAAGCTGGCAAAATCCACACCGTCCAGCTGTTCCAGCTGTTTACAATTACAATCTCTGTAACATTGACATCCTTCTTCACTAATCGCCATACGGATTGCCAGCGACAATAATACTGTAGCTTTTTAATAGTAAACAGGATATGCAGTTTACAACCTGACTCATATGCCTAACTCAAGAAACAAGTTATGTGCTAGTTAATTCATACCCCCCCCCCCCAACCCTCCTCACAAAATAGTATAATTGCCAAAGGCTTTTATGGCCAGGATCACTGGGTTGTTGTAAGTTTTTTGGGCTATATGCCCATGTTCCAGAAGCATTCTCTCCTGATTTTTCACCCACATCCATGGCAGGCATCCTCAGAGATTGTATGGTCTCACAACCTCTGAGGATGCCTGCCATAGATGCAGGTGAAACGTCAG